GGGAAGGGCGCTGCATAAGGTTTGCTGGGGAAGGAAAAGAAAGGGGATTTCACCTGGGTTGAGGTGACTGCCCCAGAGGGAGTTGAAGTCAGCCAGGTTACTTAATGCAGCTTTCCGCCCCTCCTGCCGAGTTCACTGTGTTATTTCAGCCTCCTGCAAGTTTGTCTAGACGTCAGAACCTCAGCCTGGGCAGCTGTGCGGAGGGGATGGGAGACCCCTCCCCACTTCCAAACAAGACAAGACGGGAGGAGTAGAGAGGGGGTGGTTGGCCCTTGGAAAGAAGCTACATCTAACTGTTGGCATTCGATTCAACAAGCACGTGTGGAGTGGTAACAGTGGGCAAAGACTTCCAGGGTATGCTGGGGAAACCCTTTCGTTCTGCAGCCCAGGAAGGAAAGTGACTTGCAGGAGGCCCAGCTAAGTTGCAGATTCTACTGGCTGTGGAATCCAGCTTTTGGGACCCTAAACACATCCTGGGGATTGAAAGCTGGAGTTCCTAGATGCTGAACTGAGACCCAATCCAGTGTTGTAGGGTAGAGGAGAAGGGCTCCAAGAAGACAGAAAGAGAAAGAGCAAGAAGAAAAGAGTAAGGGAGGGCTGGGGATTTAGCTCAGTGTTTCTGGTGCCTGCCTCACAAGGGCAAGGACCCAAGTTTGATCCCCAGTAGCAAAAAAAAAGAAAAGAGGAAGGGAGACCTGGGACTATCCTCCCTCCCCCCTCCCTGAACTTCAGTACTACTGGGACACGCTGGGCTCTGAAGACTCAAGAATTCCAGATTTTCCAGAGTTTTTTGTTTGTTTGTTTTTGTTTTTAAGAGTGGATAACATTGCAGAAAACCAGTCCCTGGAGACAGGAGACTCACTTCCTAGGGTCTACGAAAGAAACCGGACAAGAAACGAGGAGGAGAGAGTCCCTGGATGAAGAACACGGGACTGAGCCCTAGAGGGTCCTTAACCATTAGCCCAGTCTCCAGTTTGGAGCAGGCAGTGAGGCAGTAGAAAGCTGGGCCCTTCTTGTCCTCTCCTACCCCAGCTCCAGATATAGTTTAGTCCCAGCTAGGGTCAGGGGCCAAGAACAAACGCTGTTGGGCCAGCTGTCCAGACAGTTGCCAATTAGACTTTGTTTCTCATCCTTAAGGCCCTGAGCCCCCAACCCCTGCACCCTGGCCCAATTACTGCCCAGCAGCATTAACCCCTTGGTGCCCTAGGCTGTTAATGGAATGTTAATTGGTCTAATGGGTTTCATGTCAACAAGTCCTAATGAGCTCCTTCTAACGAGCTTGGCATTTTTTTTTCTAAGCCTGTTTGTCAACACTGGCGTTTAGACTCCAGTCTGAGGGCCTCATGGAGCAGAATGGGGGGAGGTGGAGCTGAGGAGACAGAGGGGTGTGGATGCCCCTGGACTGTATGTGGCTTGTTTCCTACAGGGTTGTCCTCTTGTGCCCCCCATCCACCTCCAGGCCCCTAAGACCTCACCTGGCTCTTGAGCTCTTTAAAATGTCATTTTCAGCTTCTTTTAATGATAATATCAGTGACACAAATTATATCCTCTTGGATATCATTGTGGAGTTGGGCATTGCATTACTTTCTTTTTTCTTTCTCACAGTTGTCATATAATAAACAACAACTCCCAACATAAGCCTGTCCTAGACAGGGGATTTCCTCATAGTAAATGTACCTTCTGTGCCCTCCATTTCTAGCCTTGGCTTTGCTCCCGTGAATGCCCTGGTGTCTGGTGACAGAAGCACAGGGCCCCTGGCCATGGCCACGGCCTCTTAGGACCCCTGACAGAAGCTCAGATCAGTCTGGTCCTTCTTTCTCTGCTCCCAAAGCAAGTGCACGAAGGGCAGGTCTCCCCAAAGGGCCGGAACCCCCACACCCAGGCCTCAGAGCCATCTGCAGCCAAGTCCCTGACAGGATCATCAGATCCCCAGATTCCTCTCCAGGATATTGCACGAGCTCCCAACGGAGGACTGGATGGGATGGGGGCTCACCTGTGGGTGGAGCATGTGAGGACACAGCTTGCTTCCAGGATGGGTGCAGCTGATCTCTCCAGTGTCAAGTTGCCAGAGGCTTCCATGCCCCACTGAAAAGAGAAAAAAAAACCTAAGCCAGAGTTGAAAAGGCCTCCTATTCTCCTGCAGGAGAAGCCCTCGGAGGGCAATGGGGCAGTGGCCCTGTGGCCTGTAGTGGCCCTGAGGGGAGGGGCAGGGACCATCTATGTCTAGAAAATTGCTTTCACTTCCTCTGTCAGGTGGAGCTGGATCTGGCCCCATCATGGCCCAGCAGGCTGGGGGCCAACACATGTCTCAGCCTCGTGGATGGTTCTCTGGGAGCAGACCACACTGCAGTCCCTGCTTTCCTCTGACAGGGCAGTCTGACCATGCCAAAGGGCAGCCTCTAAACTGACCCTGCCTCCCATTCATTTGACAGTGAACAAAAGGATGTGGATTAAAGACTACTCTGTTTAGTCCCAATCCTCCCCACCGTGTTTTCTTTGCTTTGCTTTCATTATGAAATTCTCATTTAAGGAATGAGTTAAGTTACCAAAAGACCCAAACCCAGGGTTTAAGGGAACCAGTTACCCTTACAAGTGGGGGGAGGTGGAAATAAAACCTTCCTAAATGCAGCTCCAGCCCTAACTCTGCCCCCAAGCTCCCTCTTCTGGGAGCTTCCAGAACTGCAGCCCTTCACTTTTCCTAGCCAATGAGCCTCTAGGATTGGTGTTCCCAAGAAGGCAACTGAGTCCCCTAACCCTTAGTCTCCATTCAAAGTTCTTTATCTACTAGAGCTCAAAAGGCCATGCCTAACTCACTGCCAAAATATCCCTAGTCCCTCTATTCTCTCAGGATCCAAAAGGGAGAGATTCCACATCAATTTTAATATCTCAAAAGTCTTAAGTCCTCAAGTTCCTTCTAATGACTCAAGAAATCTATGTCTGGGCTGGTGGAGAGGTAGCTCAGTGGTGGGACACTTGCCTCGCAGGCTTAGGGAGACCCTGGGTACAGTCCCTGGCACTGCAAAAACAAACAAACTAGCAACAAAAAACAAAACTCTATCCTTTTCTTCCAGTGTGGAAGCCCCTGCATGAAAATAAGCCTTCATACGGGTCATTCCCCTACCTGCAGGGAGAGACTCCCCTCTCCCTTTATGGTTCTCCACTGAGGCCCCATGTGAGAGGAAGAGTCTGAATCTCGGTGCCCACACTGTGTGAGATGGGTGGGATCCTGCCTGCTTCTGTCACAGGATATCCTGCCAGCCTATCTCCGAGGTCAGGCCAGTGTGGTGAGAGGCACAGGCCAATGCCAACAGGACTGCCCCCCCACAGGAAAGCTACCACACCTTGCAACAAGCCCACCTTACTTTCTTTCCTGCCAGATTATCACCTCCCTCTCCCAACCACACTCTCTGGAGAGAAGACCCAGTTTCATTCAACCATCCTGCCTCAGTCCCTCCAACCGTCCTGCACACAGCTAATATGTGATGAACATCTACTGGATAAAACATGAACTTCCACTGCTTTCATGGGCACTTAAGATAGAAGTGGGCCGAAGGCTTTGGAGACTCAGGTCAGGCCAGGGTGGCTATTTCCTCACCTCCCTGAAAGACAAGAGAACAACACACACACACACACACACACACACACGACTGCACCTGGACATTGACTTATTTAGTGGCAGCCCTAAAACACCCTCAACCTCCCCAGTGTTGGGGTATATGGACCTTTTGAAAGTCCCTGGGGAGGATCAGGTTGATGGAGGCCCCAAGTGCCCTAAGGGAGAGGAGGAGAGGGAGTTCCGAGCAGCGCCTACTCCCAAAGGCTTCTAGCTCTTGAGCACCTCACCACGGGAGACAGGTCCTGCACCCCAGTGGTTCTTAGGACTCTCCCACCGTGATGGACCTCCCTGTATCAGCAAGTAGCTATGGTTTCTGGTTCTAACCATGTCATGGTGTCCTCTATAGCTCAGTAGCTCTCAGGGCATTCTGTTTCCTTGGATGGTACTGCCAGACTGTCTCCACTTACCACACCACATTCTGGTTCACGAAACTTCCAGGCCCCATGAGGGTGGCTCAATTACTGATTGTGGGTGGGATGCAATGCAGTGGAGCAGATGTGGAACACACGAACTCCCAGGCATGCGCGCGCGCGCACACACACACACACACACACACACACTCCACTAATAGCCTCCGTCTCCTCGGTAAAGGGTGAGCCAACCACTTGGCTCTGACAGCTCTTCAGGCCCCACCTGCCTGTGTTTCTATACTGGAGCCACGTTAAAGGAATTTCTGGAGTTGTAGCCTCCACCTAAAAACCCAGGAGGTGCTTAGGATCCCCATGACCCTTGCCCTCCCACAAGCCCTTCTCCGGCCCCTCTGGACCCTCTTGGGCTGCAGTCAGAGAGCCAAGCCACCACATCCCTTGCCACCACTAGGGGGTGTGATGAGTACACAGGCGGAAGGATCCTGGCGCTAGGAGACCCTAGGGTGGGGAAGTTGGAGTCCTGAGGGCTTACTGCTCCTTTGCGTGCTGGTGATCTCTCCAGACACCTGAGAAATGGTGTGCCAAGGAAAGCCTTGTCATGAGGGGTCAGGATGAGGCTCAGGGCTCTCTCAGGCTGGGCCAGGAAGGAGGGTATCCAAATAGCCTCCAGTTCTACCAGGCTGCCACAGGCCTACCCACTTTCCCCAGCCCCGGGCCCCCACACAGACCAAGCTGGAGCCCATGCTGATACCGAACAAAGCCTCGCTGCAGGGGCACAGGTTGTTTTACATATGATTTGAATATCGTTTCTTTCAAGTCAAAATAGCACAGCAAGCCCCTCCCCAACAGGCCTCTCCCCTGAGCTCTCATTTGTTCCCCTGCAGGGCCTCCTGCCCTTGCTGTATCCTGTCAGTCCAGGTGACCGAGGCAGAAAAAATGTGGAGCTGGTTGGTCCCAGGGCTCGCCTGCGCTTGCTCGGTGGCATTAACAGTGCGGCCCCTCTCTCCTGCCTGCAGATCCTCGATGTGAATCAATCCCATGATGCAACATGCCTCCCCAGCCCCAGCTCTGACAATGATGGCCACGCAGAATGTCCCTCCCCCACCCTACCAGGACAGCCCACAGGTGAGTGTGCCAGGGAAGAAGCTGGGAGGGAGTGTGACAGCCTTGGGAATCCCATGGAGGGGGGCAAGGGTGTTCCAGTGCAATGGACAGGGCCAGGCCTGCCCCTGGGAGACTATTCTGCAGGGAGGCCTATGAGCACAGACCCCTGAAGGGTCTCACTGCCTTTCGACAAAACAAACAAACAAAAAAACAAAAAAACTACTGGGGTAATCTGTTGCCAGTCCCATAAACTGGAGTAGTGGTCATAGACTCGCCCACCTGCCTCTACCCTGTACATCTCAGAAAGTGTAGCTGGGCCCCTTTGTCATGGTCAGGGTAAAATCCACATTTGAGACACAGGTACAAGTTGTAAGTAGGGTCCGCCTTTGAAAATTTGAGAACTCCCTGCTCCTATTCACCAGCCTGGAAGAGTCTCTTTTCTTAACTGGGACTCTGCAGGGCTTCTACCTAGAAACGTCCAGGTTCTTTTTCTGCACACTCCAACTCCTTCCCAGCTCCCATCCCTCAGCTCAGCTGTCAAGTTCCTGTGAGATTCCTCCCTGGTTGCAAGTCCTGCAAAGGGCACCAGCCCCTCCTGGGCATTGTCTTCACACTGTCACCCTGTCCTGTCCTTTGCCTCTCCTGGAAGCTGCCTGCCTTTTCTGGGTGGGCTCCTGCAGTCCTGCCATCCTAGAGAGCAATCCCTTTTCATCTCTACTTCCCCTGGGGCACCCCACCCACCCTCCAATCTTTGAGAGCCTGAGTTGTGCAGCTGATCCTTTGTCCAAGGCTCTGTTCTCTGACCTTTATCTTCATGTTCTCTTTTCTCTCTACCCTGGTCTCTCGGGTCAATATTAATTCAATAATTATTTATTGAGCACCTGTCATTGAAATATGACCACTGGAATCCTCACTCATTCATTTAACCCCTGAAAGCGCCTACTGTGAGTCAGAACTCCCCTCTCTTCTCCAGCAGCCTTTCTCTGCCCTCCTAGTCCACTCATTACCATTTCAAATGCAGCCCTTCTCACAGACCATGCAGAAGATCTGTGTAGCGTGAAGAGGGAGTTAAGATGCAGGCAAAAGGGGGAGACTTGCCCCATGGCACCCTCTTGTTCCAATGAAATCACCAGATGATGTGGGGTCACGCTATGGAGTGACCACCTTGACTTCTCTTCCCTGAAGGTACAAAGGTACTGACTGTTCCGCACATACCCTCGAATCCCCAGCCTTGCTCCACATAGCAACCTCACACTCTTTCCCCAAACAAGTCTCACATTCAGCAGACCCTCTGCTCACATCAGCACCTTCCCACCAGTGACTGTAGGGTTGGACTTGGCCTTTATACCAGCTCTTCTATTTGGACACTTTTAGACATCTGACTCTCATTCTGGACCCTTCCATCTATGCCTCAGATCCAAGAGTTGAAGTTCAGAAGGAGCCCTCATTTGGTGGAAACGAAAAGATAACAACGAGGAGAGGAAGCTCTGGGGACAAAATCCCAACCTTCTCCGTAGATGCAGACCCATTTGCCTATCTGCTTAGCCAGTTAGGAACCCACTCCCCTTGTGTATTAAGAGGCAGAAACTTTGGCTTCATTTCTCCTGTAACTGGATACAGCTTTCCAAACTCTAGCGGGAATGGGGAACAGAGTGGGGATGCTTCCTCTGTTCAACAGGTGATGAGTGTGAAACTAAGGTTCAAGGACATATGAGGGCAGGCCTAGAGGTCAGGGAGTTCTGGCTGGGCACAGCTGCAAGCCACTGCTTCCTCCCTCCCATCCGTCTCTGCTTCGCCTGCCTGGCAGCCGGGAGAAGTTCTGGCTCCATGGGATTAGCAGGAGAGCTGCAGCAAGGGCCTGTGTCCTCCAAGAATGCTGATCCAGGAGCCTAATTTAATTCTCAGCATACAGCTGGATGAGTAAATCCCAGCTGCTGAGGGAGAGAATGGAGGTGGGGCTAAACTGCTCTGGCCTTTGGGGCAGGGAGGGAGCCGGATGCCAGGAACCAGATGTAGGGACTATCCTGAGACTCCTTTGTGAGATCTGCCAGGTCTTCACTACTGCAAGTGTTCTCATTTATAGCAGAGGGGTAATTTGGCCTCAGGAAGCTGTGTATCTGCTTGTAACTCCAGAGATCCAAGAATGAAGTGTCTACCAGGAAGTGACCAATGCAAGGTCTTGAGGCCTTTCACCCTTGTCTAGACTAGGAGACTGTGACTAAATTGCCACTGGCCCTTCCTGGGCCAGGCTGACTCCCAAGAAAGGGGATCAGGAGGAAGAGCTGCAAGAGAGGAGTTAGAGCAGGGGTAGAATGGGTGAGAGAGAGGAAAGAGTGAGGCTACAGAACAAAGGCTCCTGACTCAGGCACGCCTGGGAAAGGCTCTTTTCTCTGGGAGCGATACCTTTCAGGCCACCTGGCTCTAAGAGTCTCTCTCCTATTCTTTCAGACCAGAAGGGGCTCTCCCTTGGGAGTGTCTCTTCGTGTGCCATGGGTCTCTGACCTTTGATATAGGAGAACTTGGGAACCTGCACTGGTCCTCCTTCCTTTTCCCGCTCCCCTTTCAAGAGCTGACCCCAGCTCCTCAGGGGAAAGCTCTGTTCCATTCCCCTCCTAATGCCATTATCCTAAGGAACCAGTTGCTCTTGGACACTCGGCTTCTTTCAGGAAAGCACAGACTAATAGGAACATGGGTCAGGGACACAGGGAATCGCACCCTAAATGGGCCCTCTGGAAAGGAGATCCACTCCCTCTTCACACCTTCAGGTCCAATCTCACGACTTCTGGCTCCTGTGTGACTGACTTGTTTTCTCGAGGCCTGCACAGCTGAACACATCTGTGTATCACCTCTTCAGAAAACCAGTTTCTGCCACAGACGAGACACGGACAGTCTCTGATATGAAGTCCCCAAAATGAAAAAGGAAGAGAGAAGCAGAGCCCTTCCTCTGAGACCCATGCAACCGTTTTAATAATGTTCCCATTGTGCTAAGGGCTAGCAATACTGAGCATAATCTATTCAAATGCACAGGAGAGTGTCACTTTGGAAAATTAGGAATCTGCATTAAAAAATTCCCCCAAGTCCCATTGTGCTAAGGGCTAGCAATACTGAGCATAATCTATTCAAATGCACAGGAGAGTGTCACTTTGGAAAATTAGGAATCTGCATTAAAAAAAATTCCCAAGCCCCGGACCTTCTTAATAATAAATTAGAATTTTTTTTTCGAGGCAAGTTCTTAACTTGGCAATTTCATTTTTGAAGTTTTGGGAATAAAGTTATTAAAAATGAGGGAGACTTTTTTTCTTCCCATTTTAGTAGAGAAGCATTAATGGTTATGGCCTCATGCTATTTGGGCATAAGCCAAGTGGCACGATGGCTAATGGCTTCTACCCCTCAGTTCTGTTTCAGTCCATCCAGGGGAAATTCTGTGATTATGCATAAGGACACCACTCTGTGTTTATTGTGCAATGAAGACCAATTGTGCATTTAGAAAGTGCAGAAGCAACAACCCACTGGGACCCTTCCTGTAGACTACTTCCTCCTTCTGGTGGCTTCCTGTTAAATTCTGATAAGGTAGCAGCGCCCTCTACTGTCTTAACTAAAACACCTCAATTCCAGCATAGGGGAGCTGAGTCCTCAAAGTCAACCCCAACCCTCAGTTGAAGCCCTAAATAAGTAGAAATGAGTCACCAAAGATCATGCAATTCTACAACAACTATTTAATGAAACAGTGTCTTCAAGAGACCTGGAGATGAGCTGGGTTCGTATGACTCTTATTTCAATGCACTGTGTTAATTCTTACATAACTCCCTTTCTGTCCTGCAACTCTGTCTCAGTGGGCCTGGCCCTCACTGTCACCTGCATTTTCGCAACCCCTCCTCCACTGCCCTAGCACTCCACTCACTCCAGTGGGACCCTCAAAGTTGCTCCCCTCTCTTATTAATGCTTAGAATTTCAGCAAATGTCACTTCAGCCTCCCTCCTAGAATTTTTTTCAGTAACAATCATCTTCTCACTCTTAGGTGTCTACCCTTCCTTTATGTTCTCTCTCTCCACCTTGGAGATGCCATTCCAGCCCTCCCACTTCCCCATACCACTATATACAACAGCATCCACCCAGCAAAGTTCTCCCTTCTATAGCCCCAGAAACTCCTGGAAACCATTGGGGTTTACTATCAAAGACAACAGCTTCTTCCCCTCTTACCCACACGAAACAGACTGGCTATCATCACCAATACCCTACTCTTCCTCAAATACACACTTACCCGTGGTACAGCGAATATCTTTGTCCTCAGTTTATAGGCAAGACACACATTTTATCTGATCTATTGTGTTTAGAGTTCTGTCTGCCCCCAGCCAGTCTGGCTGCATAAGAAAACAGAACTCCTGGTTGATCTAGTCTGACTCATAGGCACGGTCCCTGTGGATGTGGCACCCAATGGATAGTGTAGTTAGGAACAAATTGATAGGTAGTGCAGTGCTTATGCAGAGTGACTTGAAGTTGTGGTGTCCGGAGAGCTTTGGCAGTTCACTGAGGATGAGCTTCTTTACCGACCAGAGAGCAAGACAGGAAAAGTCAGAACTTAAGATTCAGGCCAGTATGGGATGTTGACTTCAGAAGGAAGTCGAGCATTTTCTGGATTCCCTTTGGCAAAAGCCTCATTCCCATACTGTCCCATCCTCCAGAGACCATCAGGGTGAGGAGAATGGTGTCCAAAACCCCAGGAGAGTCACATTGGCACACGTGAGTGCAGGTTATATGATGTGTCACACCTACTCTGCCAGGGGAAGGCCAAGGCTGGGTCTGGTTCCCTCTTGCCCCTCCCAGTACTTCCTTGCCACCTCTATCTGAGCTTGGCCCTCACTGCAGGAGAGCCAAGGTGCTGAGGTGCCGACCTGGGGAAGCTGGCTGGACTTTGATCAGTCATTAGGATCCCCATGCTGGTTTCATTAGCTGGAGGCAGAGGGGGCGCTGGGGCCCCTGGCTGTGAATGGCCTCCATCTAGGCCATGCAGCTGTGAGAGT